AAGTTCTCTCAGCCTGTCTTCAGAGGAGAGGTGCTCCAGCCCCTCGGATCATCTTGGTGGCCCTCCTCTGGACTCGCTCCAGCAGCTGCATGTCCTTCTTGTGTTGGGGACTCCAGAGCTGAACGCAGTATTCCAGGTGGGGTCTCACAAGAGCAGAGTAGAGGGGCAGAATCACCTCCCTCGACCTGCTGGCCACATTTCTTTTGATGCAGCCCAGGATACAGTTGGCTTTCTGGGCTGCCAGCGCACATTGCCAGCTCATGTTGAGCTTCTCATCCACCAGCATCCCCAAGTTCTTTTCCTCTGTGCTGCTCTCAATCCATTCTCCGCCCAGCCTGTACTTGTGCTTGGGATTGCCCCGACCCATGTGCAGGTCCTTGCATTTGGCCTTGTTGAACTTCATTAGGTTCTCACAGGCCCATCTCTCCAGCCTGTCAAAGTCCCTCTGCATGGCATCCCTTTCCTCCAGCGTGTCGACCACACCACACAGCTTGGTGTCGTCAGCAAGCTTGCTGAGAGTGCACTCGATCCCACTGTCCATGTCGCCAACAAAGATGTTAAATAGCACTGGCCCCAGTACTGTCTCCTGAGGAACACCACTCGTCACTGGCCTCCACTTGGACATCGAGCCATTGACCGCAACTCTTTGAGTGCAACCATCCAGCCAATGTATCCCATAGTCCTCCACAGGGCTACTCTTAGTCCATTCATTGCCTAGATTTACTGGGCTAGGAGAAAAGTTTCTTCTGTACAACATAGGCAGTGCAGACAAAGAGGGACATGTGGGAGTTTTACCCAACTGCTCCTGGGGGGAAAAAAAGACAAGTGTGAGGGAGGCCGGGAGAGAGGGATTTCCCTGCTTTTATCATTCTCCATGTCTCTGTGTTCTCTCAAAGCAGTCAACAGCAATATTTTGCAGTTGCAACATGAGGAAAATAGAGCTGACAGCCATCAAGCATGCAAAGAGGTTTCACTGCCATAGAAACACAATTTAAAATACTGGCTGTAGTTGAGTCTAAGTGGTGGGTTATGGAATTTGAGACAGACAGGCTGAACTGCTGAATATGTGACCTACACTTACAGTATTTGCTTACAGGAGCATTCACGTTTTGTACTTCTTGTTGAGACCTCTCTTTTGACAGTAGTCACTAGCCCTGTAATCTTCTTAGTTTCAATGAAACTGAGACCACACTCCTTAAAAGGCTTTAACTCCCAAAGTAACTGTCTACACTGCGCCCGTAGCAGCACAGTGTCTGCTTTTTGCAGTCTGGTGGTACCTCTGCTTGACTGGAGGGGGAAAAGCAATTCCCACCAGGCGATGCAAGGCTGCTCTGATGGCAGCTGAGTAGAGGTTTGATGATAAAAAGAAGAGCCTGGGCAGAAAGGTTCAGGTGTGTGCGATCCGAGGATGTAGTTGGGAGCGCAGATGCACCAGGCAGTACCAGTAAGGGGTTGCAGCTGTTGCCTTTCCCTTGTCGAGTTCTCTCACTGCATTTTCCACAGTAAATTGCTGCCTGTGGTGTTGAATTCCATTAATACTGCATAGAGGCCCTAAGGATTGATTGGAAATTATTTCTTGATGTTTTTTTTGCCCATGCTTGTTTTGCCACTGGAGCAAAAGCCTTCTATGGAGGCTTTTGTGAGACGTTGGCTTTTAGTTATTCTTAGCTGAGGTACTTTCCAATGTGTAAAGCCATATTAGGCTGTGCCATACCTGCTAACAAAAGCTTTTGAATCCTAAATTCAAACCTTATTTTTTTTCCTTGAATCTGGATAAGTGACCTGATGATATTTGGTGGCTACAATAGGAGAGCTGAAAATCCCGCATGGCTGGAAACCTAGCTGAGTGTTGGTGGATATTTTGCTTTGCTTAAACCTAAAAGACACACGAAAGAGGGAAGGGGAGCCAACAGAAGTGGGAATGAACCCCTTCAAGCTCCAAGTACTGGACCCCACACTGCGTAGTATAGATTTGGAATAGCAAAATGCCAAGGAGGAAGCCTGGTTTTCTCATTAAGCCACAGAACTGAGTCTAGTGGCTTTTCCTGGCATGACTGGTGACTCCTAGTGTGGTCTCAAATAAATTGTTTCACCTCTTTGTGCTTCAAAATGGGGATAGTAAGACACCCACTAAATGGCTACCTTGGAAGCTTCAGTTTAAAAATGACCAATATAAATATTTCACTGGAGCACCTTGAGCTGTTTTACAGGAGCGGTACAGCTGGTTCTTTCCTTTATCAGCGAATGAAAATAAATACGAAATTTGTCCCTGAAAATTCGACATTAAGCCTGCACTGACTAGATTCTGCCCATGTATGTGTTGCTTCAATCCATCACTGCATTAAGCATTTTAGATTTCAGACTGGCCTGTGCCATGCAAGCCAAGATAGGCTCTGCCTCCTGACACCTTCTTGCAAGTGTTGCAGTAATTTAATAGACTGAAAGTTATTTATGAACACTGAAAAGGGTCTATCCCCTTATGTACATGTCCCTCGTAGTCTGACATCTTGATTTCTTCATGTCATCTTATTAAAAAAAAACAGCCTTTGGGGCGCATGAATAAATGACACAGATATGCATCATCGGAACAGATGCTCAGTATTGAGGGTGATTTATTTTAATTAGTCAAATGTCATTTGAAGAATTTTTACTTTGTAACTGGCTTTGATTGCTGTGTGCAAAGCTGCTGCCGTTCCAAGATCTCACGTAATTCTCCCCTTTTCTTTCCCCCACCTGCCCGTTGGTGCCAGGCGGCATGGAGTCGGGTGTCACGCTCGCTGATGTCTGGTGTTACATGTCCTTGCTCGATAACTGGAACCTCGTGTCCCGCATGACAGTCCCAAGGTGTCGACATAACAGTCTGGTGTACGATGGGAAAATTTATACCATTGGAGGGGTCGGAGTGGCAGGCAACGTTGACCATGTGGAAAGGTAAAAAAACCAACCCAAAACCATGCTGTTTGCTGGACCTTTTTCTTCATGCTATGCTAAAGGACCATTTTCCTTTTAAAGGACACATCAAACGGGCTGTACTTGTTAAAATAAGCTTTCATAACAGTTAAGGAATGAGGAAAGTATCCAGGATTAGATTTCTTTTTAAAGCCTCAGTGGAATCAGTGGAAAGCATTGTTTCAAAACCAAAGGCGAAAGCTGCCAGTTTGTTTGTCGGTTTGCTCAGGGGAGGGAAGAGAGGAATTAAGCTTCTTTGGACACTTTACACAGATTATACAATGAACTAATAAACCTCCTTTGAATTTAGTACTGATGAAAGTCTTTACAGACCATGTTAATCCTTTTTTTTTTAAAAAAAAAAAAAAAGGCAACAGCAAAGTGAGTTTCTCGCATGCGTTCTCCTGGTAAAGCACCTCAGCCTTGACCTGACTGGAAGGAAGATCCTTCAGATCCTCCCTTTGGTGCTCTTGGCCTGGGGCTGGAACCTGCCAAGCTCCGAGTAAAACAACCCATAAATGGAAACAATTTTGAATTCCTGGCTGAGGGGCTGAATAGAGATGGAAGAGAATGGAAATTTCTCTTTTCAAGAAGACTCCAGATATAAAAGTTTTCCTGTTCTCAGATGGAACTTTAAAAAAAAAGGAACAAAAGCACAAAAGAAACATTTCGCAAAGTAGAATTCCAAAACCAACTAATTTCATGTCAACCATAACACTCAATAAAACCATAAATTTTATATGCGTATCAATTTTTTATTAAAAAATAGAAACCACTTTGAAATGCAGTATAATATTCCATTCCAAAAAGATCAATACAGCCCTAGCCTTACCCAAACACTTAAAAATCCATAGTGACAATAGAGTAATGATATGTTTTTGTGAAATATTTTTCCTTAGTGAATCTGGCAACCAAAAATATGAGGATTTTTTGTTTTTGTCAGTTTTAAAAGTGCTGAGTTTGAATACTTCTTCAGCAACATTTTGAAGCAGGCATTTCCCAGTAAAAGTTGCCTTAACAGGCGAGCCAAAAAGGGATAGGTCATTAAGAAAGATTCGGAGAAAAAAAAAAATATTTTCAAATGGTTTGGATTCAAGATGCTTTCAATCTGTTATTTCTGGGTTTTGCTACTGGAACATTTATGTTCCGTTTACGCAGGGAGTGTTTATTTTTTCATTTAAGTAGATACCGTAAATACTGAATACCAAAACCTGTATTAAAAGTTTCTTAATGTTTCAAAGTCAAACACACAGGAAATTAGGAAATGCCAAAAATAAAATTTCCTTCTACAGAACTGCTTTTTGGTACAACTTTTAATCGTGCAATGACTTTTTTTTTCCCCAAAGGATTTCTGCCTAGTTCAGTGCATGGGACAGACCAGCTGTCTGTATGCATGGCCAGGGAGATCCTATCTTGTGCTAAGTGATCACCATTCACATACGGCCCTAGTTTTGGGTTCCTCTGTCTTCACAAATTTGGCACTATTTTGCCTAAGAGACAAGCACGTGACAAAATAGCCCTTGGAAAGGACATGTGCTGTGGGACAAGGTCTGCAGGTAACCTTCCCTCCTCCCAGCCTGGGCACAGGCTTGAGAACTCGTGGAGATGCAGACAGTGAAGAACAAATGCTAAATCCTAGCGGTGAATGCAACACGCAAGTGTTGCTTCCCTGCTTACTCTGAGCTTGAGGTGGACACTGCCCTGGAATTTCCTTTGAAGGAAATCTCAATGGTTTATGCAGATTTATTTCTGTTTTCTGAAGGTATTTGTCCTGTATTTTAAGTCAGTTTAACTATCAGAAATGTTTTTGTGAACGTGAGAGGGTGCGAGCCCAGGAAAGAGATGCAGTCTTTCATTCCATCTCCCAGTAAACAGGAACATCTAAATAATGCTATCCTGGATATGTGTCTTGATAGATGTCATTGAAATTAATAACATTAAATTATCTCTTTTTATCTTTCCCAGAGTCTCATTTCAGAGAATCTTTGCTCTGATTCTCATATCTCTCTTTATAACAAAGCATCCAAATGTCAGTCAGTTGAGTGAACCCCAAATCAAGCAAAGTCTCCCCCTCTCCTTCCTTATCATCTCAAGTCACCCAAGCCCTTGCCACAAATGACATTGCAGCCTGCAAAGTCGCTCTCAGGCCCTCGGCGTGCCCCGCGTGGCTCCGTGACAGCAGCCGTGCTGGCTTTCACTTGTAACGAGCCCACCAAGAGACTTTTATGTGAGAAAGGGGCTGATTTCCTCCCTATCATTTCAGCGCACGCTGTCTCCGCTGCAATAAGGATGTCTTGTCATGGGGATTTGCTAAACCCGTGGTTATAATTACTCTGCTATTGTCTATAAAGTGACTTGTGAAACACAGCTATGGAAAAAGTGCAACATGGCCTCCTTTGGGTTATGCCAAGAAAAGAGAGAGGGGTTTGGACATTTTCTTTTTTCTCCTTTGTATTAAAATGACAGTGAGACACGACAGAAGCAGAGCATGGCGTGGCTGAAGCTGTGCATTTTAAAAAGGATGTTCCAGGGGTCTGCTGTTAAAAACGCAGGTGAGAAAAAGCTGACCCTTGTAGCTGTACTGAGCCAAGTCAGGCCTTTTCAGACAAAAGCATTTCCCATTTGGACCAGGCAGCTAATTTATGTGAGCATTCAGGAATTTAAATAGCAGGGACCGCTGCACCAACTTTTGCAAGTGATAAGACTTTCTGGATTTGGGTTGCAACTTTCAGAAAAAAAAACCCACCATATTAACATACATATAAAGCCCCTTTATTTGCTCAGTTGTCTGCAGTTGTATGCACAGTGAATGTCTACTTCTTGACTTTGTCCTCCCTTTCTTTTTTCCCTCCATCAAGAGCTACAAGTGACCGGCCTTCTCCCACCATATTTCTCTGTGGGATGCACATTCCTCTTCAAATATTGTGTTGCTTTGGATAGGACACTGAGATACCATCTCTTGGGAGAGCGGAGACCTCTCTGTCATTCCAGCAGGTCTTACAAAAGCATTGTATTAAAATCATAGTAAAGTTACATAATTGTATGATCCAAGTCAGGTGATCACCTGATTTTTGTCATCACCAAGTCAGGTGATGCCAAAAATTACATTTACCTCTGAGGTTAAAGTTGTTCCCCTCAGTGTTGCATTTCAGGGTCACACACTCTTGGGTTTTGGTTTGGTTTTCACCTCAATGGAGGCATCTGAGATTACAGCCCTGTTACCCATCCAGATGGAGGTACAGAGCTTAGCGAGGCCTGATGCACGATGTGGTCCTGGGCTGTGCCACCGGTGTGAAGGACAACGCACTGGACACCCTCCCTCGCTGGGCCATCTACCACCTCCCTTCGCGCACATGCAGCTGATCTTTCCCAACCACATTTTGCTTTCTGCTTGCTCAGTTAGCTCAAGTGTGACCATACCCAGCTTTGGCCAGGCTTCCATGTGTTTTCGCAAGCATGATGGAGGGCACATCTCTGTGTGTAGGTCCAAAGTGACCTACCTTGACCTCATCAGTTAGCAGCCCCGGATCATGGAGACTGCAGGGTATCATCACAGCAGGTCTTTGAAGATGGAGAAAATAACATTTTCTCCCAGTTTCCTTCTTGTTCTCCACCTGTTTTTCCTAGAATTCTCGGAATATTTCATCCTAAATGGTTAACGTTTTACAAATATGTTTTTTATTGCATTTTGTTTTTTAAAACATCTGTCAGACCATCTTAGCTGTACGTGCTACCACCTGACTGCACCTAACATATCTGCTGCACCATTAGAAAGCATTAAAGCAAGTAGGGACCACCGGACTCCTAATGGTTTATGCCATCAGCTCCTGTGCTCCTCTCTCCGTGGCTTTTGGTTGTGTCATTGGGATGCTGAAGGATGCAGCCTCAACCAGAAATTCTGGTGCCACTTAAATCAGTGGATGTTTTCCCATCAACTTCAATAGGGCTGAAATTTTTTTACCCTTTATCTGCCATTTGTCTGTAAAGAGGCAGTAAAAATTCCGGCTCGACGGGTAATATTACAGGACTATCAAAACCAGACAGGTAGGAGTAATTCATTGCTCATCTTAAACCAATATGCATGTGCCAGAGGGGCTGAGTTATAAGTCCATTTTTGTGGCTGTACATGGGTATACGTTCAGGGAGAGTTATGTTTTTGAAATGAATGTTTAGGGAAATATCGGCGCGGCTGCACTTCTCCATCAAGCCCCTCTGGCAAGTTTCTGTGTGACAGGGAGCGAGTCATTAGGTGTTAGGCGAGAGGGTATTACACTTTCTGTCTTCTTCTGAGATATGAGTTGAGCTGGGAGGCGGCGAAATGAAGTGGATCCACGAACTAGGTTTTGAGATAATGGATGGGCCCTGTAATATATGCAATTTGAGAGCCGAGAAGACTGCGTATGCTGACAAGACAATGTATGTGACTAAAAGTGTGGAAATGTGGGTGCTTTGCGGTTATTATCTGTTTGAAGGACAGAAGAAGATGAATCCCCTTGACCTGACAGCACTTTTACAATAGGGTTGTCTAAAATTGGGAGATTACTTCGGCTGGCAGTTTGCACTTGGAACGACAGTCTAAAAAATTTGATGTAAAGAACAAGCTGTATAAGCTTTAGAAACTGCTTCAGAACCTACTGTTTTATTGACGTCTTAAGAAAATTAAATATATAGCCTTGTCCAAGGGTAGTTTCTTAAGCTCCTCAGAACAGTCAGAAGAAAATAAAAAAGGCAAAAAATAGTAATCCATTAATATGATTTTAAACAACATGTGAATCATCTGAAGAGCAGATCAATATTACACTGTACAGCTTTATTTTAAATAGCAGCTTTCCTGCAAACAGAACTAAATAATGTACAAGAAACTGGAGGGTGCATGTCTGTAAGTGACTGACCGTGATGTAAGGATTTTATAATGTGAATAAATGAAGATACTCATAAGGCTGTTTAATGTAGAAGGAGAGAAATTAAGAGACTGAGGGGAAAAAAATACTGGTTTCAGATACTGAAGTGATCAAAAGTCAAGATGGCAGAGAAGCAAATGGCACAGCTTGAAATAAGGGTGTTCTGCTGCTAATATTGAGGTGGTAGGGAGAGAAAGGAGGCGTTGAATGAAATGAGTAAAGCAAGAGGAGGATCAGGCCCACAGATGACATCCTATGAGTGGATAGTTGTGAAAACCAGCACAGTTATTTCTGCTTTTGCTCTCTTCAAGCCTGGGCTGTATTTTCTGCTGGCTTCAGATCATTTCCCACATCATGGGTATATAAATAATACATAAACGTGAAGATAGTGACTGCACAAGGGTCAGGTGAGACGACAGTGCTCAGTGCACGTGAAGTGACAGGCAGGGACACACGTGTCCTGCACATGTGGAAAGCCTGATGTCCAGAGCATGGCAAGGCCATGGACCACAGGGCAGCAGGGACTGCTCTGGGGGCAGAGGAAGGTGTGTAAGGGTGTCCTTGTGTAAGGACACACGTGAGTCCATAGTATGCAAGGACTGCAAAACCAGGCATCAGTCATGTGGAAGATGTCCTTGAAGTTTCAGGTTGAGCAAATGGGATGGACTTGGTAGGCCCGTAGCCAAGGACAGGCATGGACACACCGGAACTGGAGGGAGCAGTGAAGGAGAGGGAAGAAAAAGCTTTGCTTGGCTTAAAGCCAGCTCCCATTAATTCTCCATCTATGACTTCAAACAGGGGAATCAAATGCAAAGCTTGACTAATGGAAAGAGATCAAAGTGATTATTCTTTAAATCAGTTCCCTCTGCATTGGCCCCTGAGCAGAGCTGATGTTAAAGGCAGCCGAGGAGCCCCACCAGCACTAGTGGCAGTGGAGCGATGGCAATGCTGGAGATGACGCGACAGATGGAAGGGCCCTAGGGCAGAGAGGTAAAGCAGGTGTCATTATTTCCTGTCCTGGAAGGTTACAAAGATTCAACTTTATTTCTTCTAAAACCAATTTAGTTAATCTGGTGCAAATTCTTGTGTGAACACATTAAGAGCTGATTTGAGATAGACAAAAATGATGGAAACCTGCCTTGCAGTGGGAGACTTAAGGAGCTTAGATTACTTAGTTTATCCCATAGAAAGTGAAGAGGTGACTTTATTATTTTCTACAAGTCCGTATGTGAAAGAGAGAGATTTGATAGCAGACAGCTTTATAATCCAACAGAAAAAAAAAAAAATACAAACCTTTTACTTTCTGGTGGGTGGGAGCTGAAGCAAAACAGGGACTAGAAATCAGGTCTACAGTTTTGCAAGGGAGTGAACCAGAGGAACAAATTCCTTGGGGGATGGAGAGACTTGATGAACAGGAGGCCTTGAAGGCACCAATTTCTCTTCTTTGGCCCCAGGGTTAAGTTAGACCCTTACTTAAGAGGATTGCTCCACTGAGCAGCCTATGTGAAACCCACATAAGATGCCTGTGCTAGGTGGACAAGGTCTAGCTTCCATCTGCTTTACGGTTCACTGATTTTTTAAACTAAATGACCCTCAAGACAAGAGTGTTTTTTAAGTTGCCCTACTTGCACCTATATCAAGTAGATTTGCAACCCTTGGCTTTCAGCAGATAAAGTGAAACTGGTCATTTCTGGTTTTCTGGTGGCAGATGAAGGAGAGTAGAAGACTGAAAGATTAGTTCTGTCATCATATAGCATAAACAGAGAGCAGTGAAAAATGGGGTCTAGGAGACTTGAGGTCCCAATAGTGAAATTCATCCAGAAAAGAGACTATTGTCTTTGTAATTTGAACCTTTCTCCAGTATTCCTATATAGGTGTGGTCCTCAACCACATCCAACCCCCAGCAAATGTGAAGGGTATAACCCCTCCTTCCCAAAAACATATTGGGACCATCAAAAAGTCATTGGTAGTCGTGGGAACTGTGCTTTGCCCAGGTACTTCTGCCAGTGCTGCAAAAGGCAGCACGGCTGCTCACTGTCCCATCTCAGACCACTTCAACTGGCCACAAACCTTCCTGAGGTTTGGACTAACAGTGGTGCTAAGTTAGAGTGGAGGATGTGAGACGATATATATCAGGTGACAGATATAATTTATATCTTAGAAGCCGAGGAACTAGAAAGGCACATGAAGGCAGTTCTCAGCTATATTTCTTTGCCCAGTTTCTAACCAATTCTAATCAATTTCTTAACCAGCTTTTATTATACAATAAAACATCAACAAGCAAATTACCAAGCCCCAAATGACAACAGTTAGCAAAGCGTAACCCAAAAGCAGTGTCTGAAACTTTAGATTACCCAACATTTTTACATATCTGCTGGGATGGGCATGAGTGCTGCCCCGAGCACTGTGGGCAAAGGCAGGAGACGCAGCACATGGTGCCTTACCTGGAGGAGCTGCTTGTGCAGTCAAACGTGCATTTGCAGGCAGGTTTGGTACCAAACATTAAGAATCAGCCCAATATAAGTGTGTCACCTTCAATGCTCCCAGCACCATGTTGTTTAATCTTGTTATATTTCTCCCCTTTGATCACTTTTTTGTAGATGAATTTAATTTCTCAGTAACTAATTTAGAGCATTGTACAAGGCAGTTCTCCATGCTCATTATAAGGCACTTTCCTCATCTTTTTTAGTTAAAGTTTGCCTCCCTCTTGCTTTTGCTTCATTTTTATGAGTGTGTTAATTACTTTCAGTTATATTACTTGGAAACTCATTAATGCATTTTCATTAAGCACATTATTTTGTGCTGTTCCCACCATTTATGTCTTTTGTCCCTTTTATTTTCCCCAACTTTGGGCAGTGAGAATTTGAGGGGCATGTTGCAAAGGGAGAACTCCCCTGTCGCTGTATCTTTTTTTACAGATGGGTTCATGGCCATGGACTCATTTTGTGTTTGCATATTGCGTATCACTAATAAGAAGAGCAAAAGCCCTGAATGGGTGATGAGGGCTTCTGTTCTTGCAGTCAACAATTCTGAATAATGGCTATGCTGGAAACTCCTATTTGACTGAATGTGCCATTACATGGAAATATAGAAGCCTCGAAAAAATCACATTATTTTCCACTGTCTCCAAGACTCATTTTAGAGCAGCTATTTGGTTCCCTGCCACATTATCTTTAAAAAAACCCCGACGTCTGTACTTGTGACATTGTCTAAAATGAATCTTCATCCATGGATTATTAACTGCACATCCCTTATGGTCAATGGCTTAATTAAATCAGATACTGACGACCTTAAAACTAATTTAGCACTTTCATGCATACTCTTTTCTGTTTGCTTCATGTCAAATACGGATACAATGGTGAAATCTTATTCCAGCATTAACGTTTGCAGCATCCTGCAATGAAGCACAGTAGTTTGGTTCATACAAAGAAAATTAAATGGAAGCACAAAATGTGCGTTGCTGGTCAGTTAACTAGAGTAAAAAGAGCTATCGTGTTGCATTATGTTGCAGGTGAGATGTGTTCCACAAGCTGAACAAGTGAAGTATATTAGCAGTTGCCTGCCTGTGGTTGCTATTGGATATCACTGCACTGATTTGCAAGAATAATCTCATTGTATACTCATTAATAGAAATTAATTAGTGGAAGACATCTCAACAAAGACGTCCCGAGTTTCTTTAGCTTGGACTATAATGAGATTTGAGAGGCATATATAGAAAATAGAACTAGCTTTCTCTGGGCTTTTTCTCAATATTTTAAAAGCTTAGAAAAAAGCATTAATTACACTGTTTATCAAGTGGCTGAATTACCAGGATGTTAAAAAATACATTTCCACCTCTGCTTTTCTTCTGCTTGTCAAGCTGCCTTTCTGTTGTATCCCAGCCTGCTTTCTCTGCCTGTCTGTCCTGCCTTTACTGTCCACCCAGCACTGCGTCATCTCAGCTCATTCCGGTTGCTGTCGTCCTAGGTACGATACGATAACCAACCAGTGGGAGACCATTGCTCCTCTGCCAAAGGCCGTCCATTCGGCCGCTGCGACCGTTTGCGGTGGGAAGATCTACGTCTTCGGTGGGGTGAACGAAGCCGGCCGAGCCGCAGGGGTCTTGCAGTCCTACATCCCTCAGACTAATTCGTGGAGTTTTATAGAGTCTCCGATGATCGGTAAGGGATGCGCGGTGGCAGAATACACCCATTATTACAGTAGAAATTTCTGTGCTACAGATATTTTAATGCCTTTGCAGAAAGTAAATGAGTTGGGGGTGAGGGGAGCTATGTTTACAACAGATTGGCGGTAATGCATGGTTTATCATACCAGAGAAGCAATTATCTGGATCTTTACTGAAGGCAATTGTCACTCATTAATACATCTAGTTATCAGCTAGAAGTGATGAGTTCAAAGTAGAGGAGAAATTAAAGCAGGTAATAGATATGGACAACTAGTAATTTTAGATCCAAAAAATCGCAAAGTGCAGTGAAACGTCATCCTGGCATCATGTGTTGCTCCATGCGGTTTTACAACACTGCTGAGTTAATGGATTATTACTCGCGGTTTCATTAAAATGCCGCCTGTCCTTTGGGAAGTGGCGGTCATTCTTAACTGGGATTTATCCAAAGCCACATGTGCTTCAGAGGCTGAAATCTCTGAGACATATAGATTATTAAAACTGTGTTTATTAGTTTATGTTGCCCTCAAGCTCACCAAACATTTTACAGAATAAAGATCAAGATGAGAGGCCAAACTTTCCACCGTGCCAGCCAATGTCAGAGGTGCACACTTCCTTCTGCCCTAGGATAGCACTCAGAAGATTGCAACTTACTTGCTTTACCCTGAGTGTTTAGGCTGCTTTTGGAAATAAGGTTTAGCGTTCAGCCTCACGAGGACGTTACTGCAGGGTAACAGCTGGCCTGGGCCACCTGCTCTGCACGGGGTGGTTGTGGACAGCCTTCGGTCTGGTTGTACTTGGGTGGCCAAAGAAACAGCACTCACACATTCATCACAGAGAACTTGCTTTGGAGTGGTTTGCTTTTGCATCCTAGAATCACAGAATCATTGAATAGTTTGGGTTGCAAGGGACCTTCAAAGGTCATCTAGTCCAACCCCCCCTGTAGTGAGCAGGGACATCTTCAACTAGATCAGGTTGCTCAGAGCCCCGTCCAACCTGAACTTGAATCTTTCCAGAGATGGGGCACCTACCACCTCTCTGGGCAACCTGTTCCAGTGTTTCACCATCCTCAACCTCTTAGTTGCGTGGAAACTGTGAGATGAGGTGCTTTGTTTGAAAAAAATCACAATCTCAGTATTGAGCCTGATAGAGCCACAGGAGTAAAGAAGCATAGATATAAGGTATTCAGGTAAGGCCTAAGCATTTTCAGACAGCTAAAATAAGCTGCTCTTGTTGTTGTAGCTTGTTACAATTATTATGATTCTTTTCTTGGGGTTCTCTAGGAGATCAGGTCACGAGAAGCTGGTAGAGCCACGGCTGTAGCCTCCCCTGTGCAGACAGCGCTGCTGCTTTCCGACTCCCGTGCTGCTGTTTGTGTCCAGCCTAACATAACATGACATGCATATGATGCAGCATGAAGCGCCCAGCGGGAGGGCGTTAACCGGCAAAAGCCATGTTTATGTAATATGGCAGCGCAAACAACCCTATTGCCGGGCTTTTTCCACCACGTGGCTACAGCTGCTGCTGTTCATTTAATCCACCGACTGACAGTATGAGGTTTTCCTGTACTCACAGCGCATTGCAAAAATGAATGTATTATGCAAAGAGATATTCCTTTTCCTTACTAAAATAGTACAAGTGTCACAGGAGCTAAGAAATCATTCCCTGGGCTCGTTATACTGTCTAGCAGGCGTCAACACCATGCGTGCTTGAAAAAAATCATCCAAACCATCCAGATTTGGGTTCGTCACCCATGGTTCTAATGGACATGTACTATTATTTCCTAACAAAAATACACAAAAGACACTGGTGAAGTTAAAAGATGGTATTTGTGTTTTCTTGGTGTAAACAAAGTTAATTACTTAAGTTGAAGGCATAAATATATGATGAAATGTGGAGTCACTGTGTGCCTTTGTTGGGAAATGTATAACATCCATTTGTTTGCAAATAAAGTAAAATAACGCAGATCCTGAAAAAATTGCATCCTGGTGGAGAGTGCCTGGCAAACTAGCTGAAGTGATGCCTGATCTTCACTAAAAGGCTGTGGGAATATTGGAAATATACTGTACAAGTATATTCTCCAGCTGTACAAGAACTGCGGTACCACCTGTATTTGTCAAGTAAGTCCAAGAACTGAATGCTACACCAAGTATGGTGCAGTCTAAAACAAAGAGGGAGTAGAAGGAGACTTGGGATGCTTTTGCAAAATGGAGCTGAGATGAACCCTGATATGATTACTGCCTTTGACAGCCTCAGAGCCTTTTTGTTTTGATTTGTCAATTCTTAAGGTGTCCCCCTAAGCTAAGTCAACAGAGATACTTGATGGCAAGCTGTGTTATTTAAGGTCACCCCAGAGATCAGTGAAACCTGTTTCACCTCCAGTAAGACAACACATTATTTAATAACACCTCAAGTGCACTCAGATATGCAACAGCAGATGCAGGTATTGAAAATAGCTAAGGTCTCTGGAATTTTTTAGGCCAGTAGTACCTGTCTCAAGTCACCGTGGTGTTTTATGGTAGTGAGTTGAACACAGCATGGCACACGTTTGAACCCAACAGGTTCATCTCTTCCAAAGCATCCTGTGCCAGCCTAACCCAAGGCAACACTGGCATCAACCATGGCAAGAGGGAGGGTCATTTTTCGGCTAATTTGAATGGAGGTGAAGCAGGCTGGATACTGACATCCTGCCTGTGCAGAGGAGATATGGAATGGAGACCAACAGTAAGTCCACGCAACTCTATCCCTGCTCTTTTCTGCCTGGATTTCTTCCAGGAATAAGCAGTGAATTCACTGCCAGTTTCCACTTATTCTTTAGCTTTCACCTGCCAGGAGGTGTTGGGATGTGGATGCCTGTGTGCAGTAGGTATGACACTCACCAACATGTTGCACAGGGATGCTGTGGTAACCTTTGGGTAGGTGTTGATTACACAGATTCACATCTGTGGAGAAGAGGGTCTTTCTCAGTGCCCTATCCTTTGTCCTGCATCTGTCCTCCCTACCTTTGAAGTTGGCAGATGTTCCTGCAGCAGCACAGCCTACAGATTGATGTTACTGGGGTAACAGAGCCTTCCAGAGCTTTAACATCGTGTATTTTTGGTAAACCACCTTGCACATCTCCTTGTTTTTTTGAGCTGTTAAGAAGTTTGCTGCAGTCGAGCCAAAGTCCTCTAATAGTAAACGAACCCAGGCTACGTACTTGCAGCACCTGCCTTTCTGTTTCTTGCCAGGCTGTCCTATATAGCTCTGCTAAAAATGTATTTCATGCCCAGCTTCCTGAGGTTTGTCTTATTTAACAAGAAGGCCATAGACATGCTGAAGTCAGTGATTGTAAGTAAGCCTAATTATCTTGTCACTGCCTTTTAGTTCACTTTGTGCCTTTCTGCCAGGGCACTAAAATATACTTTTTTTGATACCCTGAACAGTCAATGTCTGTTCTGGTGGCATTACCAGTTTTCATTAATGTTTCTGGATTGTAAGAAAACCAGTATTTAATCATCATCACTATTAAATTTTAAAATCTGGTGAGAACTATGAGAATACAAGTCAAAGATCTATGAGCATTTCTGGTTTCTAATCCAAGTATCTAATTCCTCACCATACCATTTACTCCTGCAGTGATATCCGACCAAAGTGGGACAATCACAAAGCTAAGAATGCAAGAAATAGCTGGAAAACAGCGTTAGCAGCATCTGTGCATTTTTACTGCACCATCCCATGGCTTATTTTGGTTAAAATGCATAATCATTCCCATGAATTTATTTTTGGACTTTAAGAGAAAAATCCTAATGTATGTCTTGGCCCTCTCCCCAAGGCCAATAATTCAGTACCCATGGATGGGTTTGGCCGGCTCTCACCTAGAAGTCTCAAAGCAATGAGCATTTCATCTCATCCTCCAACATATTTTTCTTCCCATGACTGGTTCTTAGTGTTTTTCCCACTAGTGAGCTTGAATTTTACTTTCCTTTGTCTCACCCATTTCTCCTCTGCATATGCCATATCCTCCATTCAGAATGGTTTTTTCCACTCCTTGATGTGTTCCCCCTACACATACTTACTCTGCCTTCTATCCAGCAAAGTCAATGGATTTGTATTTTCCCTTTACCAGATGTCCTCCCTTTCACCTCCTACCTCTGCTTCATCTGTGTGACCATGCTTTGTCCAACTCTTTTCAGTCCATCAACATTTTGCCCATAAATATGGTGCCGAAACTACCCCATGACGGCAGGTGGAGCGTTCTGCTTTGGCACAGGTGATCCCTGCCACACCTACAGAAAACATGGAGTTTGCAAGTGAGGACACTCAACTTTGGGGCCTCTGAGGAGGGTTTTCTTAAGGGTCACTGGGGAAACCATAGGGCCCTGCAACTGCTTCTGTAGTTACAAGAAATCAACTAGCCCGAGAGTGTTGTGCCAGAAGGGCAGACACCCGAGACCCCGCTGTTATTTGCAATATCTGCATGTCGTCCTCACAAGCTATGTTGAGGATCAGACCATAGTCTCCCAGCTGCCACGAGACATCATCTCATCCATCGCTATGCCATTCCTGAGCTTGTCTGCATAGTATTTAGGGAGGGGGAAGAGGCACTTACTATTAAAAGCAGATTTAGCTTGTATCAACTAGTCGCCTTTCTCCAATCTGCTTCACCATGTGCATCAAGCCCCCCCGCTGACCGCCTGCAAGGAGACCCTTCGGTCGGCACTCTATCTGGACTGGTGGCATACCCATTTCATCTTTCTCTTGATTAAAATGTTTGACTAGTTTGGTTTTAATAACCTGTTTCCATATGAAGTGCTGCCGCCATTCATTGTAATGCCACGTCGGGCTCTGACCGAGTGCTTTACTGGAAGGCAACATAAGATCTTTAAGCAATCATGGAAAGGAAAGCAGGACTGTGCTACTTGATCATGTAATGTAACGAGAGATACGAACACATCACGGACAGCACACTGTCGTTACTAAGTGAGGAGCACATCGGTAGGTTGAATTGTCTACCCCATGTGAAGTACGCCCCGGCTCAAGGGTTGTCGTTGAGTGCATACCCCTTCCCGCAATGACCTGTCACTAGAATAGAAATACTTGTGTATTTTCCTATAGCAAGAGCAAAGGAGAGTGATGCTATGATGTTATCCACTTGGAGAGAAGAGAACCTTTTATCTATTATTTCCTTTACATTTATTCTACCTTTTAAACTCAAGTGTGCTTGTTGTCCTGGACAAATCTCATTTGAGATTTTCCAGCTTGAAATAGATTACTGTATCCAACAGCCCCAACACTTGAATTTTGGAGGAGAAAGGAGGCTGCTTCTCTGTTACCATGCTTCCTCTCCCCTCTCTTCCTTCCCTCTGGCAGACTTTAGAAATAACCAGTGTCCCCGCTGTATCCTACAGTCAGTCTCTGACCCATAGAAGCTCGTGTTCATGCCCAGTGGCATTGACCAAAAAGCCCAGCCAGAACATGCTTTTGCAAAATTAAGCTCCCCAACCACTGACCTTGCACTATGAGCTTGTTAAGGACTTAGAGCAGCAGAAGTTGGAGTCTCTTGAGTTTTAACATGAGGTTACCAAAGGCCTGGAAAGGACAACAACAAGGGGAGAGTGTGGATAGCACCTGGGATGAAGTAAGGTTAAAGA